GTTTTAAAGCTAACGACCGAACCTGTTCAACTTGTAAATACATATCTCTACAAATAAGGAAAGTAGCAGTTCAAATTGCTTAAACTGTAAGTACGTGAACCTGCCAATATAAAAAGTAACGGTTGAACATGCTGGCTAAACATTTAAATTAAATAATCTAACAAAATGATATAATAAAGTTATGAAATGATTTACATATTTCATAACTAAATTCATTTGTTTTCTCTTCCAGAAGGGTTCCTTCGGACAAATATAATTATCGGGTAATTAACATGTAATTTTTTTTGTCAAGGGGTACTTAGTAATTTAACGCTCATAAACTCATCAACCCGAGATAACACTTTAAAATTTTGATTAGGTTTGTTCGTTTGGTCACTTTGTTATCAAAAACTGAGCATATGAAAGATTTCTGTTTCCAGTCAATTTATTTGGCTTTAAGAATAATAATTTCTGAAGCAAATTTTACCCCACGTGTTGAACATCTGTCTTTCCCTTTTCTGGCGTCCAACTGTTCAAGTTCCGTACATATCCATTTGATGGACACTAAACGAAACAAGTCATCACCATGTGGCTGTAGCAATAAATATTAGAACACAGCAGGCGTCATAAAGCAATATGTTTGATTTAGAAAGCATATGATACTGCATTTAAGTGAGTTTATCATTTTTAAAATTAAAAATATTCTAATAGATAGATCTTTAGTTTTTATATTAAACAAATTTAATATTATTATGGTAAGAGAGAGAAAATACACAGAAGAATGTTGAAAACTCTGAGATTTATAGAGTGACAAAATGTAAAGCTGATTAAAATATATTTTACAGGACGTTTATAATTAATTACACTTTCTAATGTAACAAATGAAAAAAAAGAGATTAATTCGTGTTATGTTATCTCCCTGAGTTATTTTTTCAAAAGCAGATTTCCTGCACGTGATTCGTGGAAACCACAGTTTCAGTTTCTATCATTAAACCTTCATCACCAGCCAGGGAAAGAAGGAAAACCGCTCAAATATTTACCTTGAAGATACCGGTGCGATAAGAGAAACAATTGTGTTTCTACGTGACGTTACAAAATGTCTTTTTGTTTCATATCGACAAAACATTTTTGATGGCCAGCATTACAAGATCAGACAAGAACTTTCGCATTAAGTCTTAGTGATGGAGAAGGATAGATAAGAATTTGTTCTAGTTTTGCTAGAATGAATAAATTGAAAAGTTGTTCTATGATAACAAAATGATAAAAGTCAACTTTATGTGCATTGCATATAAATATATTTATCTGCTTTCAGTCAGCATTTACGACGCTGTTAAAATATTGATGTACCAAAAGGTGAAATTCCCCATGCGATTATTAAAGATTTATTCATACAAAACTCCAAATCGAATAATACTGATGAAACAGACGGTAAAAACAAAGCACTAACCAAAGCTGACAGTATTGAGTAACCATAGTGATGAAACAAACACCAATTACCCTTATATAGCCATATTTAATTCAGTCACTAAACACGGTAATGCTTAGTATGTAGGGATGGGCCGGGAATAAAATACTTGCCACATATTATGTATTGCTCATCATAGTCTCAAACCTTATAACAATCTAAGAGACTTTAATAAATACCTAACTTAGGTTTTAGAGTTTTCAAAAATTATTAAAACTTTCAGTTTAGCCACAAAAAAAATCGCTAAAGTAGAGAACCGGCGAGAAGTGCAACAGCCAAATATTCTGCTGATTATTCTGATTCTGGCTTCAGAAGGGTTAGCTCACCAATGCTTGAAGTTGTTGCGATGATTTACACATTAAAATGTTGCATTTTAACTTGGGGAGGGCAGAAGCAGTATAGTATTTAATAGACTTTAACACATGATATCAATATCTAAGCTTATTCTACAAGTGCAATGAAGAAACTGATAATGATTTTGACAATAAATATTACCATTGAATTTTAAAAACATAACAAATGTTCATTTACAAACTGACTTCAATTGATATTGTTTAAAAAAAGAGCAGAAACAAGTAATAAAATTTTTTTAAAAATAAAGATGATGTAGGGATGACAATGCCAAAAAGTACAGAAACAAGGTAGGAATGAATACACAGAACCATACAAAAATCTCTACATAAGTAGCCAAATCTTCCAAAGAAAAACATTTATCTACAACTAAATGTGGAATTCCTTTCATTTGCATGAATTCGTGTTTGAATAAAAGCATTTAAACTGATTAATGTTATGAAGTCTTACAGTGGCTAATAAACATAGGCTTGTAACATCAACTCAGTGGCTACTTAAGAAGGGATTTTTGTATGGTTTTGTGTATTCATCCGTACCTTGTTTCTGTGCTTTTTGGCATTTCCATCCCTACACCATCCTTATTTTTCAAAAAAAAAGTATCACTTGTTTAATGTTAGGATACTAATGAACACTACAGCTACGCCACCTCTATTTGGATATTGCATCTAAATTTGTGTTACCAGAATTGTAGTTGACTCTTGTGATGATACGTTATGATACTGACGAATCAGACAGCAATATTTCCCCGGTAATTCAGCGATATGTTAGGGGGCTTATAACGCTAAATATTGAATTTCAATACCCGCAATGGGCAGAGCACAGACATATCATTCTGTAGCTTTGTGCTTTAGAACAATAACACAGATCTATTTGTTTTATTGCATCTATATTTATCTATATAGAACGCTAGCTGCTTCTTTTGGGCATTGTGTAATAAGACAGTGAAGCTATTTTTACATGTTTATTAAATGTACTTTTCATGATCAAAAGCACGGTGATATGCTTTGAAAATTTGATATAGCTCTTACCGTATGCTCTACTAGTTAACTTGGTGAGTATAAACATACAGGTATATGAACTAAGTAGATTAGCACTATTGAAGTGTAGGAAAGATGCTAGACATCGTGAATAGTTGAATTTGACAGAGAAACGATTATAGGCGGACGAATTATTTGCATTGCTTGGTCAAGTGGAATCTGTTGAGCATGACAGTATTCAAAGAATCAATAACTTGATAGCATAAAACCGGAAAGCGTTCAAATCAGCAAAAATTGGTGTAGGAAGATGACAAACGTTCACTAATTAGGACCGTGCTAAGTAGCAGAAATAATCTTTGCAACAAATTCACATTGACTTTATTTCATTCCTTGTAGACAATGTGAAAAAGTGGTATGTATGAGATATGCATAGTGTGCTCTCCATAAAAGTTGGTGTTTTCGAAGAACCGGAATGCTCAAATAATACAGCAACCCGTGAATGCTTGGCACCATCTTTCTTGGTGTAAAGCTCATCTGTTGAAAATTCCACGATTGTTAAAGTTTTTCGCGAAGTAATGACAGCAGCGTTACCCGGTTTTAAAGATTTTAATGGATCTATTTATGGGATCTGTACAGAGTTTTTTATCATTAGGCCAATGTTTTTTGTCTAGCAAGATAATCCCTCCTGTTACAAAACATTTTGGTATGGCCAGCCCAGAATCTAATTTTGACCTCCACAGAAGATTTTTTAAGACATCTGGAGGTGTTAATTTGAAAGCTTATAAAAACTCTCCAATTATCATCACTGGCCTCTCAGAATATTCAGTCCAGTGGCAATGTTACACCTATTAGGACACTTATCACTAGACCTATGACTGCATGTCCAATATGTTTGACTGGGTAATGCATATTCATAGGATAAGTAAACTTTGGCCTGTACCGATAAACAAAGTTGATTTTTTTAAAATTTTGACTTATAATTTTAGAACAGTTGTATTTTATTCTTAATAAATCTTTCCAGCACTTTTTCAGAGAACAAAGCAGTGCAAAACTTAATTAAAGAGGTCAACATTCGCAGGCGAATGCAACATGTCTCCGCCACGAAATCCGAATATGACCAATTTTGACACTAAAACTAGAAAATAAAATCGTGAGAAACACAGAAAAATCGAAAACTGTCTATATTACTGCTTTGTACCTGCAAGAAGGTATCTTTGTACTAAATCCCATGTAAACTGGTAAATGAATGTCCGATTAATTGACCAAAAACCCACAAACTATGCTTTTTTTGTGAGCTCTAACCTCCTAAAAAGACTCAAATTAGCCAAGTCCGACATTTTTACATGTCAATATGTTGGGCGCATAAAAATTTATATTTGTAACAATTTTTATCTCGATTACTGTAAATAAGACCGAAAAGGAGACCAAAATATACAGTTTTGTGTTTTTTGGCCTTTGACATTAAAAAGACCTAAATCAAAAAATGAAAAAGGATCTGGGCGTAATGGACAAGGTATAATCCTACCAAGTTTCAAGTTAATTCGCCTAGAAATGAAAGAATAGCAGTCGATTGAAACGCGTTTTAAAGAATAAGAAGAAAAATAAAAAAACAGTATATCTCTCTGCGGAGACATAAATATTGTTCAATAAAACACGCTTCGGGGACCATGTTTAATAATCTTCGATACCCCTGGTGGGCACAGCATATATAACCCGTTGTGCAGCTTTGTGCTTAACAACAAACAAACAAAATTTAAATAACTATCTGACAGATGCAATTCCCCTTTAATTGTCTAGAATTGTGTTGGTATAAATTATTACAATTCTATTGAAAGAGATAACACGCGAACCTCAGTTATTGAATTTGACCCCTCAGTAATATTACGAAATGTTTACCATCTGTCAAGTTCTCTATCAACTTAAACTTTTTAACATTTCTGTATCACAAACGTAATTCAGAATCAAAATATTATTCTTAAACTTTCACAAATAACTGTAAAATCTGAATAGCGATTTACCATTTCACTTTTATGAAGTCACCACCAGGTAACTCATAGTTTTGTTAGCACGATGAGTAATCTTACAGCTGGCTATCCCCCCCCCCCCTCTCTCTCCACCAATCAACTTTAAGCAGACGAGGGACTCTGAGCCAATGAGGAAGAGCTATGAATCAAGGCCTTTCGCGGCTGATGTTCTAGCGCTCATTTCGCTTTGTAATAGGATTGGTCGTTAATGGTAAAATCTTACGAGGACATAATTGAAAAGCAAATTTGTATGGTCAATAGTTATTGCAGTGAAGTTGCCATAAGAAACACTTAAACTTATTCGTTCAACGATATCCTTAGACGTCGAAAAAGAAATGGAACACATTCACTGTAGGAGCAGATCGACGACGTGCAACACGTTTCGAACAGGCAAACATATCAGTAAACCTTCCGGTAAGCAGAACTGAGTGAAATCGTGAACCAAGCTCATTCGGCTTAGATCAGTGAACTCGGTGTGGAAGAAGTGCCTGTAGCACTCCAGTAGAGCAGTTCTACGGTTTAAATCGATCTCTTAGACAGACAGTATTTTCTTCCATTCTAACTGATCCTTAAAAACCTTACTTGAAGTTTCGTGAAGGCAGTCTGTATCTCTTAGCTTCCGTGTCTGAGGGGTGCCGTAATGCTTGTGGCACGTGCTCAGAGCTGCTTCGTTTACTTACTGAGTTTGCTACATCAGAATTGCTACTCTCACAAAGCATTTCCTCCCTCATTCTTCATACCTGGCTGAAGAAAGAAGCAGAATTTTTTGTTTTACATAATAGCTGTTAACGATGGTAGGACTTAACTCAAAGAAGAGTATCCATATAGCCTGCCAAATAGTTCTGATATTGGGTTTTGGAGCTAGTGTTTGTTTCGGTAGCTTCAGTTTGTTTTTACGAAGAGAAGAAGTTCACAGACTGTTAGGTAAGTCCGTTTCGACTATTGTTTCATATCATCAGGTCAGTACGTAAAATTGTTTACCTTTTTTATATGTATTAGTTATAACACAGTTTTAAATAAACTTAAGAGAAAAGACCACCTAGTATCAAACTGCGTTAGGGTTTTATTAACAATAACATCCTATCCCATTCCAGCTGATCTGGTTTTAGTAGAACTTTAACTGATGAGTTCTTAGAGAAAAAAAAAATCTGTATACCTTTTTTATTCTCATCACTCTTTCAACAGTCTAAAAGAAGCATATAACGCAAACATTAATCGTAATAAACATGATATTAAAACAGTATAGACATAATATCCCGGTATACACGAACGTTACATCAACCACTCTTGTCGGTTTGATGTTTCTGTCGTGACATTTACGCTGTTCTTAGTAGATCACAGTAAATACTCATACATCAAATATGAAATATCACAAACGCTGTTCTATAAAGAGTGAAAAAAAAACGTTGTTAATATTTTATAGACTTACAAAGTACACACGTCTGTAAGAGTTAATTGGTAAACTGAACACCAGGCTTAAGTTAGCTTCTGTTGTTATTATGGCAATGCTCTGTTGTTGCTACCAATCTACATGGCCGGCATTAGTTATTTTGCTGCTCTTGGTAAATTTAAAATGCTGTTCCCGGCGGAAACCCCGCATCATTATCATCGGTAAGTACACGCACAAACACACATATGTTACATGCACAGTGTCACAATTTTAAAGAACCTTTTACCATAGCAGAGCTATTTGTGTCTTACTTTGAATTGCTTAGGTTTGGAAGAACTTGAATGTCTTTGTCTCTATTTATTTTTCTTGGCTTCAAGGTGTGAAGTATTTCTTTAAGTTTAAAGTGTATTTTCTTGAATTGAGTAGACACTTCTTTTATATTTCATTTGATCACCCTACCAGTGGCTGTGTCTATGAACACAGTTTCAGGCGACGTGACAAAGGATGTAAAGCAAGCGCAAGATGGTTGAACTTAATGTAAAAAACTTGTACTGATTTTGCCGCCTTGCTTTACTTACACATATTTCAATAGCATCTCGGAACATTTTTAACTTTAAAGACAATTCATTTCCAAGCTAAAAAAAAAAGGCAGAGTAATGTATATGGATTATGTTGAATTTTTGGATTCCAGTATTGGTCGTTTTTCACCCTGCACAGTGTAAACTGTGATACGGTTAGAAAGACGATAAGATTTGAGGCGCTTGCAGAATGTTAATCAATTACACCTAAAATGTCACCGATGTCATAAGGAAGTTGGGCACGAGACATGGCCCTTACTGTGAACTTTAGCGGCTAAGAAATGCCTTGTCCTGGCGGTGATGGGACACGCCGTGCTGTCAAAACTACGCGTGAACCCCTGGAGCGTGTGTGGAGGACGAGATGGGAGGGAGCGTTCAATAGTGCCGATCTGAACAATTCAACTTGAAAAATATTTTCTTTAATAGCACCTGTATATACAGAACAGCTAGATGTAAGGATATATTTAATATTTTACAGTGATGAAAATACAGACATTTAGGCATAGAAAGTAATTTGCAATTATCATCCAAATATAAACAAACATATTTTTAGTGACGAATAATTTCAGTCTTCTGTGAAATTAGAGTTTAGATATTTAATTATTTAAAGTATTTGGTCTACCCGTCTTGGTCATAGAACAAACAGAGATTATGTACAAAAGTATATATATTATTTTAATAATATAAAAAATCCAAATAGTACTCATTAAAACTAGACAAAAACGAATGGTTGAAAAAGTTTTCAAAGTTATTAGTATAATTCGTTAGGTATCTGAGGAACACAACACAAGAATCAAGGGTTTGGAAGGGTTCTAAAAATATCCATTACTTAGAAGATTTCTGTGAAATAAGACTTGAATGATCCAACTTTGAAAAGCTGCTCAAGAATACTTACTGTATTAATTTGGGTAGGCGAATAATCACAGGTAAACTTGATTGTTTTGTGATAATTTTGTTGTATTATTAGTAGGTTTCTGTAAAAGACGAGTGAAAAGATCCAGGGGTTAAAGAGGTGCTCAGGAATATTTCTTGAGTTATTTAGTAGATTTCTGTAAACACAAGGATCCACATATGGAAGAGAAGTGGTAATCTGTAGCGTTAGGTACGATTTTAACAATGACATTAAGAACAAAGTAAAATTCAATGCACAAGTTTTAAAATCAATAATTTTTAACTCCTAATATTTACCAAAAATGTTTTCCTCGTTGTATTTTTGAAATGGGAAAAAACTACAGTATTTTTTAATTAATTGTGATTAATACATTTTCGTTTAAAGATGTTGGTCATCTCTGTTTAGTGATCCTTAAATTGAAATTTGTAACTTTTTAAAATGATTATTACAAATGTAATCACTACAAATCATGGAAGAATATTATCTTTTGAAATGATACTGTGCAATAAGAAATGTAAACTTTAATCATATTTATGAGAGACATGATCCCGAATGGTAAAAAAACAATGAATTTAACCTTTAACAATTACGTAAAAAAAATCTATAATTATTGTTACGATAAATCATTGAATGCACAATGAAACACCATTTTTAAAAGGCGTGGTTCTTGACGAGCTAGTGATGATTAGTAGATTTACCTGTTATTCCTAGTTAATGAGACTAATGAAAGACTGTGATTTTATCCAGTGATCCGACAATTTTAACACCAAACACTGGCGTTTAGAGTGATGACGCCTATTTGGTTCATTTCTATACAGAAGTTAAAAGAAGTGTCGCATAACAAATCAGAAATAAACCTTTGTTCTTAAGTATATTTCTGTAAGATAAAACTCAGGGATCCAGAAGCTGAAGACGTGCTCAGAAAAAATTCTTATGTGTTTAGTAAGTTTCTGCAAAACGCAAGTACAAGTATTCGAAGAGTAAGATTTCTTGTGTGATTTAGTAGGTTTCTGTAAAATACAACTCAAGGGTTAAAGAGATACTTAAATTTCTTATGTTAATTAGTAAAAATTCAGTCTCGATGCTATCGTGTTATACCAGGTTCAGTTTATTATATTAGAAGTTTCTTTGCTATAAGGGTAAATCTTTTGTTGGAAATAATCCAGTGGTGTTATGATAAATACACACACACACATACACACTTACATGCATATATAGTAACACAATAAAACCCCCTTTTTCAGGAACTTTCACATAAAGACGGCCCCTGATGCCTTTTCACGTTGTGGTTGACAAGAATGTGTTCCCCGAGTCTGTTTATCTTGACAACGGGGCGTCTCCCTATTTTGCCGGTGTGTATCTCTACAATCTGCTCACGGACAGGTTTGGGGCCAAGGAGTGGTGTTAAACTTAAATGAAGAATTAGCGATTCAGACCAAAGCCTAACATCTGTCCCGTTCAGCCGCCGTTTACCTAGTGCCTCTGCTTCTTTGGTCGTTACTCGTAAAGACTGGCCCATGGATCTTTCTTTATCAGCGTGATACACCAAGGTTGGGGGCCGCCTAGTTAGTTTTTCAACATCTTTTCTTGGATCGTAAAACAACTATATAATTTATTGCATGGAAGTTGTCTCCTAAAGGGTAACTCTTATATTACCGTTGCCATAGGTCATAAAATTCACCCGTATTGTATAAATATATATTTATTTACAGTTTGTACTTAGTTAGCTGGGTCAAACCACGTCTCTAATTTCTATGAATATATAATTGAGATAGATTGGTTTTTGCTTGACACAAACTGATTTAAAACAATTTAGCTTTTAAAGCACTTTTGTGTAATTCAGAATATACACAAGTTTAAAGACATGACAAACCAAAACAGCTCGTATATATTCATACATTTAATTTTTTTGTCTGACACGCATTTGTTAAAAGAATGAACAAAAGGTTGTATAGAATAATGTTTATATGATGCATTAGGGGAAATGTCACCAGATGCTCTTCTACAGTTTCATGTGTCATCTTAAAGTCAATGACTTCAAATAAGTAAACTTTAGGTCATAGATGACCAGTTGGCGGCCCACGAAGGTATTTTATCCGACCCTTGTTTTTTTTAATCATATTTTATTTTGGTAAAGTGGCAAAACGAAAACAGAAAACTCAACTATAGTGTAAAGTATATAAAGTAGGAATTAAAATGAAATATTTTGAACGTACTTTACCCGGTCATATAGTCTTAGCACCTAGATTACAGTCTAGATAAGAAACTGGCCCACAAGCATGAAGAAGTTGGCCTTCCGTATTTTAGGTGCTGGATAATAGGAGGTGTTGGAAAAATAACATGAAATTTTCCAATCATTTGTGTATGTGTGGCTTAAAGTCCAATAATCTCTACTGACGTTAAAAAAAAAGCGCTGTAAAGAACACATTAAAAATACATGCCGGGATGTCGCCCGTGTTTGATGGATGTCTAAATTTATACGGCCTAATCAGTACCACAGAAGTGAGTTCAGAGTCTAGCTAGTTCGTAGTCGTGTGAAAACTGCACGTGAAAGAGATCTGGCTTTAATCAGCTTCACGTGGATTCTGGAAAGGAAAAAGATTACGATCTTCAGAACATCAGTTTTCCTTTTTATTATAGGCCAATAAACCTTCTATCGTCAGACGCATGCGTATTTTTATGATTGTAATCTACAATGTACTTGACAGTTTCTCTCTTATTGTCCGATCATAATTTTTGACTGACCTTTTTTTTTTTCTTTCACAAAGAATTATCTTCGTCTCTTAACCAAATGCTTGAATTCAATGAAGTTCTGTGAAAACAAATAACTAACTGTCAATTTTTCACAGAGAAGGCCAATTTGAAGATCACCCCTCGATCATAAATATCAGATTGTATGTTTCAAAACTGATAGTCTCGTGGAAAGGATTTTAAAAATGTAGGTTTATAAAGCCTAATGGCCATTAGCCAAGGTGAGACTTGAAATATTATGTCCTACAAACAAATAACTAGACTACTCATCCAGCTATTTGTTTTCTAAAACTGAAAACAAATTGCACCAACA